TTAAAAAAAAAAAAAAATCTGAGCATGGCAGCACATACCTATAATCCCAGCACTCAGGAGGCTGAGGCAGGAGGATCACTAACAGTTCGAGACCATCTTGACCTACACAATGAGTTCAAGACTAGCCTGAACTACATAGCAAGACCCTGGCTCAAAAAAGTTTTTTAAATAAATAAATAAAATAAAAAACAAATACCTCAATTTTAAAAATAGCCTAAGGATTTGAATAAGCACCTCCCCACAAATATGTATACACAAAAGACCAATTATAGGGCAGGGAATATAGCTCTTGGCATGCCTGTCATGCCAAGACCCTGAGTTCAGTCCCCAGTACAAAAGGGAGAAAAAGAGCAATTAGCACATGAAAAGATGCTGATAGTATTAGCGATCTAAGAATGGGAATCAAAGCCAATGAGATTATAGCCGGGCATGGGGGCGCACGCCTATAATCCCAGCACTCAGGAGGCTGAGGCAGGAGGACCTTTTCAAGTTTGAGGTCAACCTGAACTGCATAATGAGACCCTGTCTTAATAAAAAAAGGACAAAAAAAAAAAAAGAAAAAAAGAAAAAAAGAAAAAAAACAGTGAGATATCTTCCATTCTCATCCATTAGGATGGCTACAATATAAAATAAAGCTAATAACTAATATTCATGTGGATATCATAAAATTAGAACCCTCTTTTACTATTGGTGGGAATGTAAAGTGATACAGCTGATTTGGAAAATATTCTAGTTCTTCCTCCAAAGGTTATAGCTTGTAGTGTATCTAGATGTTTCCCCAAAGCCTCTTGCGCTCTTAGATAGGGTTTTTTGGATCGAGGGCGTGTGATACTGGGATTAAATGTGTGCGGTTCTAAATCAGTCCACTGATCGGTTTAGCATTGCTCTGGGTGTTGTTGAATGGAGTTACTGAAGACAGAGGTCCCATTCTCTTTTGGCACCACCCAAAAGGCTTGCAGCCTGGATAGGATAAAAGGGACGGAAAGAAAGTGGGATTGTTTGCTGTTTCTTTATCTTTACTGTTTTCTGCCTGCTCTGCCGTGGGCTGTTTCTCCTCTGCGACGCTCCTCAGCCAGGCCGCCCTGCCTTGGAGCCCACAGACTACGGTCTGAAATCTCTACGAACTGTGAGCCAAAGTAAACCTCTCCTTCTTTAACTTGTGGATGTCTGGTATTTTGTCTTAGCAACAAGGAAAGTAACTAAGACAGTGATCATGCACTTCCAACAGCTCCAGTCCAAGCTATATATCCAAGGACATAACAACATATAGTATATCCAAATGAAAACCTTGGATGTGAAAAAGAAAGAAAAAAAAATTTTTTTTGAGACATGTTGTAACTTTAGACTGGCCTCAAACTGACTATGTAGCCCAGGCTGGCCTCAAACTTGGAGCCATCCTCCTGCCTCTGCCTCCCAAATGCTGTGATTACTGGCATGCGTCATCAAGCCTGGCTTTCGTTTTTTTAAAGACAGGGTCTCACTGTGGAGGCCGGGTTGACCTCAGACTCTTGGTGGTCCTCCTTCCTTAGCCTCCTGAGTGCTGGGATTATAGCCATACACCACCATACCCAGCTAGCATTATTCTTGATAGCCAAAAACAGGAGACAACCCAAAAGCCCATCAACTAATGAATGGATATATACAGTGTGGTAAACCCACACAATTAAATACTATTTGGGCATATGAAAGAATGAAGTATTGTTGTGCGCTAAAACATAGATGTACTTTGAAAATATAATACATTCTCTGTTATTAATCCTGTCTGATATGATCCTCACCTCAGACATTGTAGTTTCATTTCTAGAAGTTAGTGTGTATGTATGTGCCACTGGGGGTTAAACTCAGGGCCTCCGCATTGAGCTACATTTATAGGCCCTTTTTATTTTTTATTTTGAGACAAAGTCTGTCTAACTTGCTAAATTGCCCAGGCTGGACTCACACTTGTGATCCTCCTACCTTGGCTTTCCAGAGTACTATACCATGCCTGGTTTAAATTTGGGTCTTTTTAATATCTCCCATGTCTGTGTAACATGTTCAATCTTTCCACTGTATCTTTGAGCCTGTAGAAAAAAATTACAATAACTATGTTATTGTCATTCCCTATTTATTCTTCTCTCTCTCTCTCTCTCTCTGTCTTTTTTTTTTTTTTTAACAATCTCTCTATATAGTTTAGGCCAGCTTTCAATTCACTATGTAGCCCAGGCTGGCCTTGAACTCACAGCGATTCTCCCATCTCAGCCTCCCAAGCACTGGGATTATAGGCATGCACCACCAACCTGGCCCACCTACCTATTTATTTAATATCTGTACCAGTTCTCGGTCAGTTTGGGTCTTCATTGTGGTCATAGTTTCCTGGTTATTTGTATGCTCAGTAGTTTTTTATTTAATGCCATTCATTGCAATTTCACCCTATTAGAAGCTAGATATTTTTACAGTCCCATCAATATTCTGATTATTTGCAATAGTTTGATCCTTCAAGAGCTCATTTTGACAATTTGGCAGAAGCTGAGCAGCATTTAACCTGAGGGTCTATTTTTTTCCCCTATAGCTGAAGCAAGACCATTCTGAGAATTTCCCCTAATGTCCTGTGAATAGTAAGAGTTCTGATCTGGCTAATTGAGACAAACACTGCCGGCCTGATGTGAGTTCTGGCTTTTGTTCCCACAATACTTTTAGATGGTTCTTTCTCTGGCCTGGAGCAGTATCCTCACATGTACGAACACTGGATACTTAGTTTTTTGGATTGGATTTTTTTTTTTTTTCGGTCTTTTTGAGACAGGGTCTCACTGTGCAGTTCAGGCTGGCCTTGAGCTCACTTTGTAGCCCAGGCTGGTCTTGATTTCACAAGGATCCTCCTGCCTCAGCCTCCCGAGCACTGGGATTACAGGGTGTGCCACCATGTCTGGTGAACCCTGGGTACTTAGATCTCTAGATCTGGTTGCTGTTTCTTTCTCTCTCCTTCCCTCCCTTCCGCCTTCGCTCCCTCCTTCTTTCCCTCCTTCACTCTTCTTTCTCTCTGTCTCTCTCTCTAGCTCTATCTCATCTGTCCTGCAAGCCTTAGCTGTCCCTAGACTTTCCAGGAAGTAGGCGGGTGGTCACAGGGCTCACCCCATCTCTCGAGGAACACTGTTCTTCCTGGCCTGATGTCCAATGCCTTTAAAACTGTTATTTAAAAGCCAAGTGTGGTCGAGCACACCTTTAATTCCAGCTACACAGGAGGCTGAGGCAAGGAAGACCACAAGTTTGAGGTCAACCTGGGCAGCTTAGCGAGGCCCTATCCCTCCCACCAAAAAAAAGTTATTTTAAAAAATAGCATTATAAGGATATATACTTAGCATGCACAGGTTCAATCCCTAGTACCCAATAAAAAGATAAATAAAATGTTAAAATATATTGTGTCCAGGTTTTTAATTCGTTGCAGGTTGGTGGGTCAGTTTGTTCGGTTATTCCATCCTGGCCAGAAGTAGAAGGCCAGTTCACGCGGTGCTTAGCAAAAAGGTAGACGTAATTGGCTCACACAATCTGACCTAGGAAGGAAGAAAGCGCACCGGTCTCAAGGTTAACCGGATCTATCAGCTCATTTCAAACTTGAACACTTTCTCCCACTCCTTCTGCTTCTCATCTCACCTCTACCTCTGTACACAGGACGCGTTCTAGTGGAGACCAGGGCCACTGCCATTCCCACCTTCTCAGAGCCCCATCGATGGCCGGAATGCCCCAGAGGAAGAGAAGACGTTCTTCAAATTTCTTACTTAACTCTGCAGAGTGAGTGGCTGAATGTGGATAAATCCCACGACTGTGTCTCACACCAGCTACCAAGTTCAGGAGGGTACATGACAAGGATCAATCCAACAAAGAGAAAATATGCGTCGACTGGGCAGTGTGGCACAGCCCTACAATCCCAGCACCGTGGGAGGCAAAGGCAGAAGGACTGTAAATTCGAGCCCAGCCTGGGCAAATTAGTGACTCAGCAAGACCCTCTCTTAAAATAAAAAAAACACAAAAAGGCTAGGGATAGTGTCTGGCGTGGACCTTGGTGGTGCGGTTTGGTCCTCAAGTTCTGTCTGAGATGTCCTTTGTGGGCTATGGAGAGTGACTTGTATCTGCGTTACTATGGAGAGTGACTTTTATCTGTGTTACTATGGAGAGTGACTTTTATCTGCATTACTATGGAGAGTGACTTTTATCTGTATTACTATGGAGAGTGACTTTTATCTGCATTATTAAGAGAGTGACTTTTATCTGCATTACTGTGTGGATCACAAAAGGAAGTTTGGTCAGGAATTCCTCGAGTCCTCATAGGACGCGTTGGGCATTGAGATACCCCGACAAGGACGATTGCAAAATGATGTTATGGTCAGAAAACAGGCCTATGTACATAAAAGTGTGATGGAGGAACTGGCGAGAATAACTGATGACAGTGAAATTCCCAAGGAGGATGATGCTTTGTGGCCTCCTCCTGCGTAGGCCAAGGGGAGATGGTTCTCTTATTGATGTCAGTCAGTCCAAGGACCAGAAGTCTTATGAGTATTTTATTATCTTGTCCAGGACCTGAAGTGTCTGGTCTTCTCTTACTGGATTACACTTCAAAATTAAACCAATTTAGCGGGCTGTGGTGGTGCAAGCCTGCAATCCTGGCACTTAGGAGGCTGAGGCAGAAAGATCGCAGCGAGTTGAAAGCCAGCCTGGAGTACATAGGGAACTCAGGGCCAGCCTCAACTACACAGGGAGAGCTTGTCTCAAAAAAAAAAAAAAAAATTAAACCAATTTAGATTGAATATTGGTGTGGATATGGGGGAGGTAGGAATAGTTGTTTTAATTACCATTATCAAGAAATTTTTGTGTATACCAAGGTGATGTATCTTTATAAAGTAATTGTCTTTAATAAATGTGATAAAATCCAAAAATAAATAAATATAAAAAGGCTAGGGATGTAGTTCAGTGTGAAGGCCCTGGGTTCAGTCTCTGTTACTGAAAAAAAAAAAAAAAAAAAAAAAAAAGAGAGAGAGAGAGAGAGAGAGAGAGAAAAAAAAAAAAAAAAAAAAAAGAAAAGAGAGAGAGAAAAAATATACCATCTGCATTGCTATTGTACATATAGCTTCGGGCTGCTTCTTTTTTTTTTTCTTTTGAGACAGGGTCTTGCTGTTAGTTTGGACTGGTCTTGAACTCACTGTGTAGCCTAGTTTGGCCTTGAACTCACAGTGATCCTCCTCAGCCACCCATGTGCTGGGATTACAGGTGTGTGCTACCAACCCTGGCACCAGCTTTGGGCATTTGTAAGTATTTTCTTGCCCTAACTTCCTAAAAATAAAAAAAAAAAAAATTTTTTTTAAAATAAAATTGCTGTATCAAAGATTTTGGAGTTTTTTTCCACATGTTGTCAACTTGCCCATCCAAAATTGATCCCACTTCACTCCCTCATCAATAGCATATAATACAGCACATTTCCTCAGCATTGCCAGTACTGGGCATTATTATGTTTTCATTATTGCCAAGCCAACAGGTGAAAAGATATTTTGCTGTTATTTTATTTTATTTTATTTATTTATTTTTTTACAGTACCAGGAACCAAATTCACGACCTTGCACTTGCCGGGCAGGCGCTGTGCCGCTGAGCTAAATCCCCAGCCCCTTTTTGCTGTTATTTTAATTTGTAGCTCTTCGATGAGTCTTGAAGTCAAACATTTTTTGTCACAGACATTTGTTCTGTGACACGGTGGCTATGTTCACTGGGTACCAACAGTACTGCATGTAACATGTGCCTTTATTTTGCTTCGTGTGCTTTTCTGATATGACTTTTGAATACCTCTATACCCAGTCTGTCAATCTTTTCCGTTATGATTTCTGCTTTTAATGCTGATGTAGGCTCCACACACTTTTCAGTTGCATTTGGCATGTCAGGCAATTTCTTTCTTTCTTTTTTTTTGGAGACAGGGCCTTGCTATGTAGTCCAGGCTGGCCTTGAACTCACTGTGTAGCCCAGGCAGCCTTTGAAGTCCCAGTAATCCTCCTGTCTCAGCCTTCCGAATGCTGGAATTACAGTCATCTGCCACCATGTCCGGCATGTCAGGCAGTTTCTAGTCAGCATTTTTCCAGCCCTATGTACAAATCACCCTGTGGCACGTATCTCTTCTAGAGGTTAAGCTACTCCTGCTTCTTGCAAAACTCCCAGGGCTGGAGGCAGCAATTCAAAACACGGTTTCTCCCAAATGGCTAATTAAGGGAGGCAGTACTTCTGCTGTGTTTACCAATTTCATCAGCAACTCGGGGTCTAACCAGATATTCCTGTTGAGGACACTCTCTCGTTATCAATTTAGCCTTACTGAATAATGATGCTAATAAGTCAAATAGCAGCACACTCATCTCTCATTGAGAACCTTTTAAAATATTTGCTTTGATCGGATAGCTAGCTAGCTTCCTGGCAGTCTCAGAAGAAAGAAGAGCAGCTTCCTCCACCAATGTAGAACTGCTAGAGCTGCCTGTCGTACACCCGGTCATTTATCTGGAACAAAGGTGCTTTTACCTTTTAATCAAATACCCTTCATATGCGGCAATACCAACAAACCAAAACAGGAGACTGGCTTCTTGGCTAACTCAGAGGGGCTTTCTAGGGGTTGCTGGCAGTTTCTCCACCCCAAGTATAATTTCTTATAACCTGAAAATACACAATACTTTCCTTCTATCTTTGGCTTGGCACATGTGGTATTTAATGGAACTTTCTGTGATGATGTAATGTTCTAGGTATGCTGTTTAAGGTGGTAAATAAGGGACCGGGGAGGTAGCTCAGTGGTGGAGCACTGGCCTATCATGTGCAAGGCCCTGAGTTCCATCCCCAGCATGGGAAAAAAAGGTAACTAAGCTGAGCATAGGGCACATACCTATAGTCCCTGCTACTCTGAACGCTGAGGCAGGAGGGTTGCTTAAGCCCAGCCTTAAGCCCAGTTCAAGGCCAGCCTAAGCAACGTAGTAAGATCCTGTCTCCAAGAAAAGAAAAAAAAAAGAACAACAAAAAAAGGTAAGTATTAGCCACATATGTGGCTACTGAGTACTTGAAATATACCTAAGAGACTGAGAAACTAAATTTTGAATTGAATTTAAATTAATTTACATTTGGATAGACAGCACAGGATTATCAGATTTAACAAATAAAATACAGCAAAGCCCTGATAATTATTAAATTTGAATAAGCAACAAATAAGTCTGTAGTTAAGTCTATCCCAAATATTGCATGCAATCCATTTACACTCTAAAATGATTCTTCTTTATCTGAAGTTCAGATTTCACCGGGTGCCCAACATTTTTTCTGGCGTGTGTCTAGTGGTTCCCCTATTGGGTACAGTGTGTCCTGTTTCTTCCACAGCTCTTCAGAGTTACTCCTACAGAACCTAAATCAAGGAGGAAAAATTATTATGATCATACTTGGGCAGGGAAAATCACCTGACTGCTAACAGAAGGCTATTAGGTGACAGAGGCAGGATTACCAAATCGAACAAGTTGATTCAACAGTTGTTCCCTGGATGCCTTGTCTGTGAGAACAAACATTCTGCTATATGCACAGGACGGATGTGTGAGCTGCTTAGGAACTGTGTCCACCAGGATATGGGGAATCTGTGCTGTACTGGGTGTGAGTTATTTTGAATATCACGCCTCATCATGAGGAAAAGGGAAGGGAATAAATCTTTCCATCCTCCACCCAGGAATTCACGACACATGCTAAGTGTGTCCTCTACCCCTGAGCTACATGCCCAGCCCCAGATTAGAAACATAAACCAAATAAAACAAAATATTCTTTAATATAAGACAAACCTAAGCTGGGATCACTGTACTGCTGATGTCTGATGGTATACTGAAAGGAACAGTTAATACTTAAAATTTTTTATATTCTGACCAATTCTGCATGCTTATATCTAGTAATCTGAGCAGCTGATTTGAAGGTAACAGTATGCAATGGAACTATCGTGGTGAATTCCTACCATCTTATCTAGTGAAAATCTGTATTATCTCTAATGTTTTATCTAATAATTATTTTTTTATTCTCTTTAATGGTTTGAACAATCTTCCATTCTTACATCTGGTAATCTGAGCAACATAGTTTAAGATAACAATATGTAATACAACAACTGCTATTAAATCCTATCATTTTATTTTAAAACCCTGTATCAATTTTAATGTGCTTGCTTTGTTTTGTTTATGTTTGTGATGTTGGTATGCTGCTATTGTTCTTTTTTTCCTTTTACTGCTCTCTCTCTCTTTTTTTTTTTTCTTTTTTTTTCTCTTTTTGAGACAGCGTCTCAATATGCAGCTCAGGCTGGCCTTGAGCTCACTTTGTACCCCAGGCTGGTCTCGAACTCGCAACGATCCTCCTGCCTCAGGCTCCCGAGTGCTGGGATTACAGGCATGCGCTGCCATGCCCGGCCCTTTTACTACTCTCTTTAAAGTAAAAAAAAAAAGACAAATCTAAAGTGACACATACAAGGAAAATGCTATGGGAATGAAAGGGATCAGCCATAGAGGGAGGCAGGGATGTTGATGTTTGAGGAGTTTTGGGTTTTTGTTTTGTCAAGGTGTAATAAACACTTATCTTTTCACCTTTTCTTCTAAGGACTTCACAAACTTTAGCAGTAGACTTTTAGATTCCTGCAGGAATCAATCAATGTGGGCCCATTGTGCCAATATGCTGTAAGAAAAATTTCCCTACATTCTGCAAAGAGAGCCAATGGTCGCTCTAAGCAAATGCCCTACAATTCAAATCAAAAAGACACTGACAGGATTGGGGTTGTGGCCAGGTGTTAGAGTACCTGCCACTCATGCAGAGGTCTCTGGGTTTATGCCTAACACCACACACACACACACACACACACACACACACTGCTCTTTATGGTTGTCTGATTTTAGGCTACTGCGG